AACCAGTCCATTCTTCTATCCAAGTGAAGCCTACTCCTTTCTGCCCTGTCTGTTCTAAATACCCACCCCACCACTCTGTCCACATGCTTCGTCATGCACTCTAAAATCCTCGTCCACGTGCCCTCCAGCCTCTCTCCTTCCTCCTCTCACTCACGTATCCTCTGGCTACCCACCAAGTCACTCCCTTGCCCATCCCTCATGTGTCCATGCCTGCTGCTCACGAACCCCCAATCTAAGTCACCTGCTTTGGTCTGCATGTGTGAAGAGTTTCCACACTGTGTGACTTCCCCACAGTTCTGCTGACTGGAACCTCACAAGGCCTTAGGATGGTCAGGCTCTAGTCAGGTCTGTATTCTTCTGGACTGTAGGCTAGTCCCATCCCTCACATGGTGAAAGGGGCCTCTTCTACATGAGAGCTGCCTTACCTCAAAGGCCCCACCTCCTGCCATTGCTGGGGCCTTCAATGTATTAGTTGGTGGTGTGCATGCCCAGAGTTCAGCACTTCCTGCCCATTTGGTCCCCATCAGCCTCCCTTTCCTTTCCCCTTTCCTATTCCTTCAGCACTGGAGGATGAGACCCACTGGTCTGCCCACCCAGGACCAGTCCTTCCTCCCTCCATTCATGAATTCATCTATTGGATCACAAACATTCACTTAAAGGCTGCCCATTCGTCCACCCACTCATCTGTCCATCTCGTCAAATGCCCATGTCTTCTTCCTCTACTTGCTTTGATCAACTCATCCAACTTTCCATGTCTCCCCAGTTATCTTTTTTTCCCACAACAGACATCATCTGTCATGTCTCGGGCCCACGGAGCACTGTGTGTCTTTCCTGCTCTGGTTGCTTCTCCAGTGCTCTGCTCCTGCCTTACCCACCTTCCTTGTTCCTCTTAGCGTTCCTCTTGCTTCTCTGTCCACTCTCCCAAGTCTTCATACTGCTCCCATTTGATTTCTTTGTCTTTGTGGAGCCAGCCCCACACCCCCTCACCCAGTGCCGACGCAATCTCATCACACACGCAGTGATGCCTTTCACATGCTCATCTCTGCCCTCCACCTGATCCTTCAACTCCAGACTCAGCACCATTGCTGCTCCTGGTGTCTAGCCAAATGTCTAGAAACCAGCTCTCACTGGTCCCGGGACCTGCTCTGACAAGCTCCTTGGCCTGTGCCTCCCACTTTTCCTTCTGCAACTCACTTTTAGTTTATCCTCAAGGCCACCTCATCTCAAGCCCCATCGCATCATCATCCGCCATGCCGAGTTCAGCATCGTCAGTGCTGCCCTCAACCCAGATCCAGAACCCATCCACCAGCCCATTTCCACTGCCACAGCTCATGTCCATGTTACTAGACCCATGTTCCCGGTTGATGAATTTTCTCCCCTCTCTCCAGGACAGACTCCTCCCCGTCTGACCTGAATCCTCAGCCAAAGGCTCTGTTAGGGTCTGTCTGGCCTTCCCTTTCTTCTGGTTCTATGTCACTCTGAAAAGCCTTCACAAAACCCCACCATCTACTTGACAGCTTCTCTTGTTCTCTACTTCTCTGTGCTCTGACCTCCAACAGCAGCCCCAGCTGGCCTCAGCCACCCCGTCTTGGGGCTCTGCTTCCTGCACCTGGTGTGCTTGCCCCATGGGGCCAAACCCGTCACTGATACCCCTGAATGAAGATTTTTTGGGTATCTGCTGACTGGATCTCCCAGGCACCATCGACCCCTGGCATCTTCAGTGATCTCTCTAGCCTCCGTATCTCATGGATACCTGCCTCGCTTGCCCTGTGCCTTGTGATTCTCCACCTGGTCTATGAACCATGAGGACAGAGACTTTTCTTTGTTCCTTGCTGCATACCAGGACACAGCTGGGCTGTGCACGGCTGCCATTACACACCCAGGTTGCCAGAGTGAAGACTGACTGACTGATTGGTTGATGAACCTAAGAATCTGTACCCATCCCCCATTCATTAGCCAATAATATATTCTTTCAACCTCCTCTCTCTTTCTCCTCACCCATCCCACACACAATCCGAAATGTTTGTCTACCCATGCCATGCATCCAGCATACATATCAGAAATCCACCCCAAAGATACAAAATGCATTACTATACACCATTACTAGTTCAAGCATCTGACACACCTTCATAAACTTATCTGCCCGCCTGCCCCACCCTTTCAGCACACTTCTTTTTTTTTTATGAGACAGGGTTTCTCTGTATTGTTTTGGAGGCTGTCGGTCTAGCCCGGCCTCGAACTCACAGAGATCCACCTGCCTCTGCCTCCCGAGTGCTGGGATTAAAGGCGTGCACCACCAACGCCCGGCCATTCAGCACACTTCTATCTAGGTGTCCATCCTAACTACAAAAACGCGTTACTTGTTCCCATCATCCAAGGCACCCAACATATTTTCTGTCTCCTCACAACACCTGCTCTACTCAGCCAGAACACACTCATGTATTTATACTCTCATCTGCCTGCCTGCCCCCATGACAAGCAGCCACTCATACCTTTATCTACCCTGTTATTTCCACCTGACATATGTTCCCCTGTGTACATATGTATCCCACTCATCCAGAATATCACCAACTGTCTCTCCTGTCCATCTAACACACATCAAAACACCAGTGGCCCCACTTGTCCAAGCAACTTGGTGTGTGTGTGTGTGTGTGTGTGTGTGTGTGTGTGTGTGTGTGTGTGTGTGTGACAGAGAGAGAGGCGGGGGAGAGAGAGAGAGAGAGAGAGAATTCACCTGTCCATCCACAATGTTTATTTGATATTCATTTCTGTATTTGTAGATACCTTGTAGCTTCCAGAATTGTAAAAAAAAATACCTACTGTCTTCAAAAAATAAAAAAAAAGAACAAGGGTGAGCCAAGGCTCTTCTGCGTACCCTCTGCTAGTCAGCATTTTTCTAGAATCCTCTTTGTCTTCCTCCTAGGAGCCTACAGGCAGATGCTGTGTCAGGAACATGTGACTAACCATGACCTTTCCCAACACTGTGAGGTGGTTCCCACATCAAAGGCAAAAACTAGGAGCAGCAACAGGGCCCACTAACTGCATGCAGTCACCAGTGGACATCAGAAAAGGCAAAACTCAGGCCCAGAGTTTCTCTAGCACAATTGTAGCCTGGAGGAGGGGCTTGCAAGAGGACGTAGAACAGCTGCCTTGTTAAAGAGAACACCTGGCTAATGATCACAGTGGGGTAGTTGAGCTGGATATAGAATCTTACTTGCTAGAGATCCAGTGTCTACAGCGAGCGTTAGTGGTGTTAAGGGTTTTGCATTACAGTTAAAAAACAAGTAGGCTAATACTAAATCCAAGGGAAGGAAGAATGTAAATTTCTGGAGAAAACGATAACACTTTATCAAATATTTCGCTCAAATCGTGGGAAGTAAGTAAATGGCAACACAGAGGTGTTGGTTCCCTCCCAAATCACTGGAGGGCAGAGTCTCACTCCGCCTTAGCTCCCCTGACTCCTCATCTGCTCTTCTGCTCTTCCCATACTCTCTCCATCCAATTCACATATAGACAACCCACCTTCTGAGCCACCCCTCCCTGCCCTTCGCTGGGCCTCACCCCTTCCTCTTACTCTACCCCAGTCCCGTCCTTCCTCCTCTCTGCTCCATCTGCCTACTGCTGGTTACCCATCATACACCTCCTCTCCCCTGCTCCTGCCTCAGCACTCCTTCCTCCGAAGGACAATCCCTCCTCCTAGCAGGCTTCAGTTGCCCTCTGGTGTCCATGCCCCAACCCTATTCCCATGCACTAATTCCCCCTCCCACCACACTTCCTCAGGTAGCCCCTTCCCTAACTCTGGCATCAGCCAGTCCAAGCGTCTTTCTGTCCATCTTCCTTCTTTCAACCAAACCCAGTCCATGAATTTAACAATCCCCATCTTCGCCGGGTGTTAGTGGCACACGCCTTTAATCCCAGCTCCTGGAAGGCAGAGGCAGGCAGATCTCTGTGAGTTGGAGGCCAGCCTGGTCTCCGTAGTGAGTTCCAGGACAGCCTCCAAAGCCACAGGGAAACCCTGTCTTGTAAAAAACTAAAAAAAAAAAAACCCAAAAAAACAAAAAAAACAATCCCCATCTTCTCACTGTGGTCATCTTCCGCCTCCATCATCTAGGCTCTGCTTTCAGCTTGCATCATGCTCAGCCACCACCCACGTCTGGTAGCACAAGGGGGCTGTCCTAAGACATGTCTGCCCCAACCAAGTAGCCTCTTAGAAATGGCCAGCTCTGTCCCCATCTCCCTAGGATGTCTTGTCCACTCAGCATCCTACTTAATATCCAGCGAGGCAGAATTGACCACAGCACACTGGACACACATGTCATCATAACCCACACCCACTGTCTCTGGAGTCATAGTCCTATTCACCATGAGTCTGCTGCCTCCGGGGTCACCTTCCTCTTTTATGTTAGATTACTTCAGACTCATTGAGCAGTTGCCCAAAATAAATCAGAAATTCCTGGGCATCCTTCGCAGGGTACCAGTGCTCTTTGTTCCCCATTTCCTTCTCTGACTAGACACTGTTTTCTTTACAAACCGTAAAAGATGAATTTCTCATTGACTGTGTTCCCCAAACCAAGGGCGGGTGCTTGCAGGACAGAAGTACTGAAGACTACTTAACTCCCATCTCTGCTCCTCGACACCCTGACCTCCTTCCTCAGCTGACCTCTGTCTATCCCCACTGATGACCTCTGTACCCTTCTTATGCTAGCTTCCACATCCCTTCCTTTGTTGTCTTCAGTTCCCCTTCCTCTGTTGTCCTCTATCCTCATTACCCTGCTGGCTTCTGTCCTCCCCCCTCTCCCGGCTTCTGCCTCTCTTCCTTCTCCCCCAATGACCACCATCCTCTCTCCTCTGCTGGCCTCCATTCCATCTCTTCTACTGGCCTCCTTCTGCTCCCTCTTTACTTCCTCCTCCTGCACTGACCTCTGTCTTTCTTTCTCTGCTGACCTCCACCCACTGCCTCCTCTGACCTCTGCCTCTCTTCCTCCTCCTTCTGCCTCCAGGTTCGGGACAAGAAGCTCCTGAATGACCTGAATGGAGCCGTGGAAGATGCCAAGACAGCGCGGCTGTTTAACATCACCAGCTCTGCGCTGGCAGCCTCCTGCATCATCCTCATCTTCATTTTCCTGCGGTACCCCCTCACTGACTACTGAGTCCAGCAGGCAGTGGCCTTGGAGACACAGCACTGAGACTGATGGTCACTGAGATTCAGGACGCTAAGAGTGTGGGGGCAGAATGGGCTTTTACCAAGGCCCAGAGCCATGCATGGCAGCAAGGCCGCCAGAAGCTGAGTGCCCAGTGGAGTGGTACACTCCTCCCAGCCACCCTATCTGTCTCCTGCCCCTGTCCTGATGTCACTGGATCTCTAGGCTCCCACTCACAAAGCTGCCTGGTTGTCAGTGGCTGCCAACCCATGCATCCTACCCAGGCTCCTGCATTCCTCAGACCTGACACCCAGCAAGAAGGGCTTATGTGGGAGCTCCCAGGATAGGAGCTGCCAGCACCAGGGGCTCCCTCACTCCTGATCCCAACTTCCTCCAAGCTGTGACCCCTGCTCTGAGCTCTTGTGTCTGTGAACTTTCATTAAAACATGTGCCCAGCTCAGCTTCATCTTCTGTCCATATTCCAAGCCAGGTCTAGGTTGTCACCCTAAGGGTTGGCTAAGATGCTCCTTGCAGCCCATGACCCCTGGGCCTGCACACAGCTAGCTCTGTACAAAGGCTTGCTTAGAAACCAAGTGGTCTTGAGATGGCCAACTGTGTAGATGGTGAAATGGGGGGTGTTAGGTGGAGGGACTCCACACAGGATTCACAGAGTTGAGCAACCTCTATGGAGTTGGAGGGATGACGTGCAGCGTCTAGGAGAAACATCCTACAGTGATGGTGAAGCCCTGCCAGTCTCTGGGTACCCACAGGGTGATGATCAGGCTCTCACCTACTTAGCTCCTGAAATGCGGAAAGAGACTTCCTGTCAGCTGAAGGTCACTGTTCAAAGGTCAATATCAGCAGCAGCATGCTGGTCCTGGAAGTGGTGCTGCCACAGACGGGTGCTGCCCTGTGAGCTGGGTGGGGGTAAGCTGAAGATGGACAGAGGTCTCATCTTCCATCTTGGTCCTGGAAAAAAGAGATACTGTGGGACTCAGGTAGGGGGGCCAATGGCATGCTCAGTGGTGGGAAGGCCTGGCCCCACTTTGTGACCTCTGGTTGTACCCTCAGTGGAGTCAGCAGTGTTGGGACTGGACAGGCAAGACTAGAGGCCATGACAGTCGTGGGCACAGCATGTAGATGGAAGTCAGTGGAGGGATGAGCACATGCAGAAGCTTGAGCTGGTCCTAACCAGGTAGCTGGAAGGTTAGAGAAGACCACAGACAAGGAGAGATGAGGAAACTCGTGGTCACTGGGTTTCAACACATCCAGAGTTACATGGCAAGAAAAAAAAAACAGATCAAACAAGGCTAGGGACTGGGGTGGAATAAGAGGGGAAAGAGAACAGGAGCTAAGTAGCCCCATTCAGTGCTCTCTGCTCCCAGGTACTCTGAGATGTGAGCTAGCAGCCCACATTCCTCTGCCACGGTTATGCCCTCCTCACCCTTACATCATGAGCCAACATAGACTTCTGGGTTACATTGCTTCTCACCAGGCATTTGAGCACAGAGACAAGCAAGCTATTGCTATTTGCAGAACAACAAAAACAACAAGGAAAGGGATTTAAAGTTGTGTGTGTGTGTGTGTGTGTGTGTGTGTGTGTGTGTGTGTGTGTGATTTCAAAGCTGCAGTGGAGGGGTATTTAGCACCTTCTGGAAATAACATATTTCTTGGGGCTTGCCCTTAGGTAGGCTACTGGGCCATGGGGTTCATGAACACCTTTTTTTGGTAGGAGATATCAGTTTAAAAGCGGTTATACCTCTGTTTTTATCTGAGGCTATGCCCCTGGGAATCCATGCCCTCCCTGCTGCCTAGTGTCTGTCTCTGCCACGTGTCTGGTGGTGTTTAATGGCAGCATCAGCTTGTACCTCCCTGGATATTTGGCCCCTTTGGTAGAAGACTGTAAAGTCCCAATCACTTCCTATGGGGCTGTCATTTTTTAGCCACTTGCTTGTCAGCCAGTGCTTGGAGGGTGTGACAGGTAGCTCCCCACATCTTCCTGACACCACTCACATGGCAACTGTTTCTCGGTAACATATCAGTAGAAGACATCTGGGTGCTGGAGAGATGTTTCAGCAGTTAAGAATATGTGCTGCTCTTCCAAAGGACCCAGGTTCAGTTCTCACATATACATAGCATCTCAGAAACATCTGTAACTCCAGTTGTAGAGGATCTGATGCTCCTGCACACCCATGGCGCACATACGTTCACACAAGCAAAGGCACAGCATAAATAAATAAATACAAGAAATAAATATTTTAAAAATAATTCATTTTTTAATTGAAGACATTGGAATGAAAAGACGGCTTATGTGATAATCAAAGTACCCATGGACGAGAATTTGTTTAAATAGGTAGATACAGGGGTGAGGGTTGGGGGGTGACGACACACAACACTTACATCTATAGGACAACGTTGACTTTTCCAAATCCCCAAGTGTGCAGTAGGCTGCCTTTACTGAGGTTTCCCTTAGTTTTTGCCCAGAATTCTCTACAGTCTTCAAGAGTCTGTTGGGTCAATTTCTAGACATAGGACTTTTATGTGGTTGTACTTGTCGCATCCTGAAGTAGTCTCTTCTCTGGGTATATATTACTGTCATGAAATGTAACTGATATTCAAAGCACAGATGCATGGTCAGCATCATTCTCGGTGTGTCTTTTGATTTTTTTTGTTTTTGGTAGCTGTGGAGTTCTAACTGTGAATGTTCCCAGAATACCTAATTGAATCAGCATACACTGCTTTTCTTGACCCTGTCTTTCCTAAGGCCTCGTTTACAGCGTGGCATACCAGTTGGAAAAGGAAGCTTTCTCTGTATAACCCTCGTGGGAAAGATAAGTCATTCAAGGCCATGTGACTTCCTATGATATTTATTCTTGCTATTTGTAGTTCTCTCAAATTTGCATAAGGAAGCTCACTGCTTTCATAATATGCCAACGAGGGCTTTCTTGCTAGACTGCAGAGATAATAGGACAGATTTTTGCATTGCATAAAAACATACATTAAAAAGTAATAAGCTTGGGGCTGGGAGGCACTCAATGGGGAAGGCTCCTATCCTGTAAGCATGAGGATTCCCAGGGCCCACATAAAAGCCAGCTGCTGGCACATCTGTAACCCAAGCACTGGGGATGGAAACAAAGGCAGATCACAGGGTTCACTGGCCAGCTGGCCAAGCAGAATTAGTGAGATCCAGCTTCACTGAAAATAAAATGAAGATAAAATGGAGAGCAATGAGGAAAACACCTGACATCAACCTCTGGCCTCCGCATACACACTTATATATGAGTACACACATTTATACACATATATAAAATATACCCCCACAAATATGATAAAACAAAATAAAATACCAAAGTTTATGTTTCTCTTGGGCACATATCACAGAGACAGCTGCACATTCGTGTTCCCTGTAATATTGTTCAAAACAGGTAAGTTACAGAACCAGCCTAGGTGTCCATCAGCAGGGAAATGAAAGAAAACAGTGTGCATAGCCACAGCAGTATTCTTTCCATCCGGAGTGGAAGGCTAAAGGAGCTGGAATCTGAAGTCAGCAGAGGGCAAGCAGTGGCAGTGGTATGTGATGGCCAACCTTGGTTGTCTACTTGACTGTATCTGGGGTCAACTAAAGCCCAAGCTGCCGGGAATTCTTGTGATGGGTTTTCCTGATTAGTTACCTGAAGTCAGAAGTCCCACTCTATATCCGGGACCCGTTCTGATGGCAGCCTATATAAAAGGACATGGATGAAGGAAGCATCTGGTTTTTGCCCACTCGCCCTCACTCTCACTGAATATCTTGTTTGCAGGTTGCACACACTGTGTGCATGGGGTACCCATGGAGAGCATCGGCTCCCATAGAACTGGAGCTATAGATGTTTGTGAGCCATCCTGAGGCTGCTGGCAAACAAACCCGGGGCCTTTGCAACAATAACAAGTGCTCTTAACCATGAGCCAGCTTTCCAGCAATTTTTTTAAAAAATTAAAATAATTTTATCATTATTGTGTGTATGATGTGAGCTCCTAGGGATCTGATGTCCTCTTCTGCCCTCCTTAGATACTGAACTCACATGCACACACCGCACTACACTATGCATAATTAAAAAATAAACCTGAAGCTGTTCAGAGGGCCCAATGGTTAAGAGCACAGGCTGCTTTTCAGAGGACCTAGGTTTGGTTCACAGCACCCACACTGGGCAGCTCACAATCCCCTGTAACGCCATTTCCAAGGGATCTACATCCTATTCTTGCCTCTACAAACACTACAAGCAGTCAATACACACACACACACACACACACACACACACACAGGGGGAGGGGATAAAAATAAATTTAAAAACAACTATTTGTTGTTTTTAACATTGAAACAACCTTGTGTGTCTGGGCCAAATTTAAATTATTCTGTTGTATTGGTGTTTTTAAAAACACTGCTATATTTGCTGTTCTTTAGACACAGAGCATGTGATAGACTTGGTGTTCTTCCCACTCCCATGGGGACCTGTCACTGGGAGTGGGGTGTCTTTGTGCTGTGTTTGGAGCAGCAGATGACGGGGCCACGTGCCCTGGAGTTTCTAAGTGGGAAGGAGTCATGCCTTGAATTTGGAATGTGCTCCACAGGCTTAAATGTATAAACACTGGGTCCTCAGAGACTGTGCTGGCCTGGGAGTTCCTGGAGCCGTTAGGATGTGGGGTCAGTCTCGATGGAGGCATAGCAGATCTGCAGAGGCAAGGTTTGAGGGCCCACAGGCTTGTTCTCCTTCCAGAATGACCTCTCTGCTTCCTGATCCACTGAGATGCGACAAGCCATGATGTAAGCCTCAGCTGCCTGGCCTTCCCCATCTTGCGTCATGAGGTAAAGGAAAACCTCCCTCCTCTTAAAGTTGTTCTTCTGGGACATTTGGTCACAGCAATAGAAAGGTAACTGATGCAGATGGTTTTAACATCTTTAAGAGTTGCTGCTCTTTTTGCTGTCCTGTTTGCTGTGCCTGTCTTTGGTATCTTGCACTGAATATTTAGCCTATTAATCCCCCTCCTCTCTCATTACATATCATGTAGCCCAGACTGATCTTGAACTCCCTAGGCAACCAGCTTTACCTTTGACTTTCTTCTATTGTCCCTTTTTTGTGACAAGGTTTCACCATGTAGCTCAGGCTGGCCAAGAATTTATGAGACTGACATGCTACCTACTGTGCTAATGAGACTCCTTTGACCTAGAATTTATAATTCTCCTGCCTCAGCCTCCCAAGTACTGGGATTACAGGAGTGGGGTACCATGCCAGCTGTCTTTTCTTATTTCAAACACAGAGTGTATATTCTTCATCATAAAAGTGGTTGAAAATCTGGACTGCCTCTAATGGGGTTTCTTCTTATTCAGTACATGTATCTACATACATACACATGTATCCTAAAGAAGGATTTATTAGACTGGTTTACATTGTAGTTGAATGGTCCAGTGATGGCTGTCTGCAT